TCTGCCCACAAAGTCTGACTTACGGGTGGGCGTCTATACCTGCTGTGTCTTAGATGGGGCTGATGAGTTGTCTCTCACAACCGTCTTCATGAGGGGTGGCGGTCACAGCAGTTTAGATGTGATTTAACCCAACCCACTTAATACTAGCATAGGCTTGGGAGACTTAGCCCTGGTCTACACTGGGGGGGGGGGGTCGACCTAAGATACGCCAACTTCAGCTACGCAAATAGCGTAGCTGAAGTCAGCGTATCTTAGGTTGACTTACCTGGCTGTGAGGACTGTGGCAAGTCGACCGCTGCCGCTCCCCCGTCGACTCCGCTTCCGCCTCTTGCGAACTGGAGTTCCAGAGTCGACGGGGAGCACGTTTGGGGATCAATTTATCCGCGTCTAGACAAGATGCGATAAATCGATCCCCGATAGATCGATCCCTACCCGTCAATCCGGTGGGTAGTGAAGACCTGCCCCCAGTTATTAGGAACCCTGAACTTCTAGGTCCTATTCCTATTGTCTCATGTATTGTACAGGATAATGAAACATATGTACCTGGTACTGACCTTTGTAAAGCATTGCGCTCTATGGAGGACAAGCGCTATAGAAGTGCTAGGTCTTAATGATTATTAAGCACCTGTAAAGGAAAATCCACAATCTGTTCTTTGCTTCCTGTCCTGTCTGAATCCCCTGCCGCGCAGGAACTATCCGTACTTGCTCGTTACTGGAAAGGGGCAGGGGGCCGTTCCCTCATCTCCATTGCAATCAGCAGTAATTTCCCTCCGCAGAGAGCTGGGAGTGGGTGTGCTAGGAGTGCTGCTCCCGGGTTAATAGCAACGCCGAAGTGGGGGGAGTTTGTTTTGTTTCGGTTTTTTGTCCAGACTCCTTGACACGCTGCTTTCGGCGGCTGTGAAATTGCATCGTAATCAGAGGCTCTTAGGAGAGGCCAGGCGTTGCGGCCAGGCTCCGACCCTGGGGAGAGGAAAAGAGCGGGGGTGAGGATGGAGGCAGGTGTAGCACGCTGGGCTCATTGCAGACTCTGGGTGGGCTTTTCATGCCAGAAAATAGCTGTACATGAGCAAGCGATTCAGGGGGACAGAGGTACACTGGGCCTGATGTTCCTCCAACATACCATAGGAGCACCCACAGAAAAAAAAACAATGGGTGCTACTGTAACCCCACACCTTCTGGGTGTGGTGTTCTGTCCCATCTAGTGGCACCGAGACCACTTAGAGAGAGAGATTAATGAGTCTGCTCTACAGCCTTAGCTAACAGCCAGGTGACTTTTACCTCATGCTGTAGAGGCTCATGCACTAAGCTCCAGCAGTCCCTGGTTCAATCCTGCCCGCCGACGACCGGGGTCTGTCAGCTGTTCTGCGGCAGGCGGGAGGCTCTGGGGGGAGGGGACAGAGTGGGGGTGGGAAGAGGTGGAGCGAGGGTGGGGCATATTCAGAGAGGGGCAGAGCGGGGCAGGAAGAGGCGGAGGGAGGGTGGGGCTTTGGGGGAAAGGGTGGAGCGGTGGCAGGAAGAGGCGGAGGGAGGGTGGGGCTTTGGGGGAAAGGGTGGAGCAGTGGCAGGAAGAGGCGGAGGGAGGGTGGGGCTTTGGGGGAAGGGGCGGAGTGGGGCGGGGCCTCAGGTGGAGTGGGGGTGGAGCAGCCAGCCAGCGGCGCCTGTGCAACATACCAGTGTAAATCCAGACTAATGGCACTGAACTCAGCAGAATCACAGCGCTACACCACTGTGGGAAAGCGGCCCAGATTTTTCCGAGGAGGCACTAAAAGGCAGCGTAGGAAGTGTGGCTGTGCCAGTACCATGTCCACAGCAGAAAATCTGCTGCTGTGGGGACACAGACTGAGCCAAGCTCTTTGGAAGCGGTTCAGGCGACTGACCCTCTAACCAGATACACAATCCCAGCGGTGGCTGGCGTGCGGCCTGTTGCACCCCCTTGCTTCGTGACCTCATGTCACTGCATCTGCCGCCCAAAATCATGTGGGCCCCATATCGCACCACAAAATGGGCATAGTCTCTAACCCTGCCCATAGGTACTGCAGTGAGAGGCGCTTCAAAATAGCAACAATCGAGATGCAGATGGAAACAGAATGCCTGGGTTTCCGAGGGCTGGTCTCCACAGGCAGCTTCCATCGGCATAACTACGTCCTTCAGGGGTGTGAAAAACTCATCCCCCCTGAGAGAAGTAGCTCTGGTGATGTAACCACCGTAGACAGCACTAGGTGGATGGAAGAATTCTTATGTCAACCTAGCTATCGCCTCTTGGGGAGGTGGGTTACCTACGCCCGTCGGCACAGGCAGTGTCAGCGCCGCTGGAGAGGTTTAAATGTAGACGTCCCCTGAGAGACTTTTCACAGATGGTGCAAAGCAACAAAGAAACTTCCCTTCCCTTTTTTTTTTTAAACCCATTGTGCTTTATTTTCAAGGGGCACCTGCCTTCCTGGGAGGTTTCATACCTAACTGCACCTATCGCATTCTAGGCTGGAGCTGGCTCACAAACCTGCCACCACTTCTCTTCATTCATGTAATGGAAGCAAAGTTTACAAGACTCATTAAAGAAAAGAGCCCCAACATCTGGAGACAGGCCTGGACCGACCTCCTCCGGCCAAACTACCCTGAGTTTTGAGGAAGAGTGCTTGAAATAGAAACCCATTTACGGATGGCCCATATCTTACTATGAGCTAAATCCAAATATCACCCAACACGGTCTCTGAATCCAAATTTTGCAGCCTCCCTGCTAAGGAGCTGCCTTCTCCATTTCGGGGTCTTTATAACACATTGATGGCATCACCCGTCTGGGTCTAAATTTACTTTAAAGAAACATTTTGGATCTCGGGAGTTTGAGATCAGGGGCCCGGACTCCATGTTATTGAATCACAGCTGTAGCTGTCTCCAGTTGGCAACCCCATTAGAGCCTGGTTTGCCAGCAACAGGGCACACAAATGGGTTTGCTAGGTGATGAGTGTGGACAGGCATTCTAAACGCTAACAGGATTCTGCAGTCAGGCGGCTATTATTGCTGGATTACCGTCGCTACTGGCTTTTCAAACCTCTCCAATTTACAGAACCCCAATCAGACATTTATCTCCCTTCTCCCACAAACACCACAGAGACTTCAGTGTTCTCTAACATCTGACCTTTCTGACTGAATTGTTAAAAGCCATTAAGGATTTTATTGCCACCTCTCACCAGTTGTTCTGTGACATTTATCAAGAGCTTGTTATACGACGGAAAACCATGTAAACCTGCAACGATCAATATTTAAATCGCGGCTGATTTATTTGCACGCCCTCATTAACTGTGATTTCCATTTGCTTTCTCTGCAGCTCCCAGTGATAAGCAGCTAATGGCTCAGGCTCGGCGCGAGCAGCGACATGCCCGCCGCCCATTAGAAGGTGAAATGCACTGAATTAAATGGCATTTAGGGAAGTCACTTTCAGGAGAGGAAGTGCTTTTGAAAATTGAGCTCAAGGGGACACACACATGGAAACAGTTACCCCTGCTAACTAGCGCCACGGGAAATCTCGGTCTCTCTCCTCCTGCACGAAGCAGATGAACTTAGGAGCCGGACTTTCCCCAGTTGTTGAGATAATTGAGATAACTAATTGCAACCTGCTGCCCCCTGCGACAATGTTGTCCATCCAGCCTGAGTGGCCCTGCTGCTGGGGTCAGTGAGTGCCACAAAGAGCCTTCAGCAGAGTTCAACAGTGGCAGGGTTCAGCTGCACGTTTGGAGATCAGACGCTCTGGGGATGGGCCCCCTAGGAAGACCTAGGCTAGCACCTAGTGGCGTTTGCGAGGTCTACGGCAGAAAAGCGTTCTCTTGCTTGCCAACCACTGGAAATCTGATTTCCTGCCGAGATAATATATGGAGATATACCTATCTCATAGAACTAGAGGGACCTTGAAAGGTCACTGAGTCTAGCCCCCTGCCTTCACTAGGCAAAACCAAGTACTGATTTTGCTCCAGATCCCTAAACATCCCCCTCAGGGATTGAACTCATAACCCTGGGTTTAGCAGGCTAATGCTCAAACCACTGAGCTATCCCCCTCCATAAAACTGACTTGGATGCTTGCGGACAGTGAGATGTTTTAGCCCCCGTCTGCAAAAAATCCATGAGGCAGTTCAGCTGCCCTGACCGTCTCTGAGCTGGAGCCACGGGGGGCGTTGCAGGTTGGGATGGGGCTGCCGGCAGGAATCGCGGGCTTTGAGGCAGGTCAGTGCATTGCCAGAACTGCCTGGAGGGGAAGTTTGCTCAGCACTTCATTCATTTTCCTGAGTATCCTATTCATCTAGCACAAGCCAACCTGCCATGCCAGCTCGTGGCCACACACGCGCCACTCCTGATGGCCCCGATCCTGCCCCCCTTGCTTACATTGTGCAGTACCTTTCTCTGTGAGTTATCCTATTGAACTCAATGGTGCGACTTGTGGAGCAAGGTGCTGGCCTGGACACCTCATTGGAAAACTCACATAGGGCAGGATTCTGCCCTGGGAAGCAGTCAGGCCCAGATCCTGGAAGGTATTTAGGCTCCTAACTCCCCTTGAAAGTTAGGGGCCTAAATCCCTTTGAGGATCCTGGCCTGCCTTACTCCCTGTGAATCCCCATTGAAATGAACAGGGCTATTTACGCAGTAAGCCGCTGCTCAGCGGGAGTAAGGGGGCAGCATCTGGCCCGTTGCTTTCCCTTCCGGCGTCGATCATTTGGTGGGGACCTGTTTCATTTCAGACCCTTGTCGGCTGCCTATGGACGAGGGCTCCTGCCTGCACTACACGTTGCTCTGGTATTACCATGGAGAAGCCAACGCCTGCAGGCCGTTCGTGTTTGGAGGCTGTGGAGGGAACAGCAATCGGTTTAAATCCAAATTCACATGTGAGCGTTGGTGTAAAATCACAACAGGTAGGGGGACTTCTCTTCCATTCGCTTATGGCAGTGGCACGCACATGCCCACATCCGCCAGTTTGCTATGTTACCAACCTTTTTAGAAAAGCGTTGCTTAAATTAAGCTGATCCTGCTCCTCTGAGCCCTTCCGCGCTGTGACATCACAGGTCTCTCCCATGGAAATGGTGATGATGTCACAAGCACAGGGTGGCATCATCAGCAGAACGTACTGGGCAATGGGAGGAAGTTGATCCCAGCAGGGAGTGGAAATAAGTTACAACAGACACAAACAACAAGGAGTCTGGTGGCACCTTAAAGACTAACAGATGGATGCTTTAAGGTGCCACCAGACTCCTTGTTGTTTTTGTAGATACAGACTAACACGGCTACCCCCTGATACTTAACAGACACAAAGATCTTATTTGTGAGACGGGAGTCACCATCAATTGAAAAGCCACGTGTCCTTCTGAGATGCTTTGCCTCCCATTGTTAAAGGCCACATCGCTGGGTCTGAAAGAGAGGAGGGGACCAAAGTTCCCAGTTTTAATCTATTAACTTTGAACGTTGGTGGCACTGACTTTGTGTAGAGTCACTTCCACTGGTGAGCCTGCAGAGTTGGTCCTTTCCCTCTGTTGTTTGTGCCAGTCTTTCATGCTGCAACAGGAAAAGGTGGCGGTAAAACCTTACAAATTGGCTGGGCGATCCCAGGGGTGGAGGGCAGGTGTACACCCTGGAATGACTTTGAACCCTTTTAATTGACTCGATTCCATGTGGATGAGGTCCCTTTAATCTTTCTTGCCAGAAAGAGAGAAGATGCTGGAATGATAAGTCAGCACTTTTTCCAGTTCTGCCTATGGAAACTTGCTTTGACACTGCTGACATGAGTTAACGTGTTCCCTGCGAACACAATCTGGTCCCTTAACAATTCCATCCAGCGGATGCAAGATGTTCTAATCAGTGGCATTATTAAGCTCATAGAAGGAAATCTTCGTTAGAAGCAGCCTTTGTAGTGCAAGCTCCCCCCTTAATGTTTGAAACTGACAAAAAGCATTTCTTACTGCTAAATTTCACAGGAACCCTAGGGTCTGTGCCCTTTGACCTCTCAGGTTTTCTTCTGACCCTGTCTAACTATCTCTCTGGTCTGTACAGCAGACAAGGGTCCAATCTCCAGTGGCGTAGCTCCATTGAAGTCACCAATCTACCCGATCTGGCCCCAAAGCTTCTTGTGCTCAGAATCAAACCTCATGCAGGGGCTCACATGGCAAAAATGGTTCTTGGAAGCACAGCTGGATTTCCATTGCCTAATTTAAAGTCTGTGGGGTTAGATAAACAGGTAAGCACCTCTTCAGGGTGGCTGTCGGTTTGCAGAGATATTCCAGAGGAAATTGGATGCTGCTGTTGACAATAACCCCAATTTTATCTGCTGCTGATCAGTGGCTCTCTGCATAGATCAAATCCAACAATTCATCCTGTGGGTAGCAGTCTAGACAAAATTGACTCTCCACAGTCAAGTATCAGAGGGGTAGCCGTGTTAGTCTGAATCTGTAAAAAGCAACAGAGGGTCCTGTGGCACCTTTGAGACTAACAGAAGTATTGGGAGCATAAGCTTTCGTGGGTAAGAACCTCACTTCTTCAGATGCAAGTAAGGTATACCTGCTTCTGGAGATTTCCATTACTTGCATCTGAAGAAGTGAGGTTCTTACCCACGAAAGCTTATGCTCCCAATACTTCTGTTAGTCTCAAAGGTGCCACAGGACCCTCTGTTGCTCTCCACAGTCAAGTTTCTGATGAGGTTCATTAGATATAGCTGTAGATAGAATCAATCATAGAATATCAGGGTTGGAAGGGACCTCAGGGGGTCATCTAGTCTAATCCCCTGCTCAAAGCAGGACTAATCCCCAGACAGATTTTTGCCCCCAATCCGTAAATGGCCCCCTCAAGGATTAAACTCACAATGCTGGGTTTAGCAGGCCAATGCTCAAACCACTGAGCTATCCCTCCCCCTTTAAGTTTAAAAAAAAAAAAGACTGCCTGGGATTGTGATTGACTCCTTGAAAGTCGGTTTCTCATTAAACACTATCACTGTGCATTTTTATAGAATCAAAAATAGATGTGTTGGGGGTGGGGAGAGGGCCTAAGACACAAAGTTCAGATTCACTTCAGAGTTTGCAGGTGTTTGGATCTCGGTGTCTGATTTAAGCCCATTCCTAATATGTATAAAATATACTCATTTAGTCACTGTTTCGCATGGATTCAGACCTCAGTTACATCTTTCTGGTGAGCAGAAGAATTATCTTAGTCAAAGGCTCAAATGCTACGGAGCCATACAAATCCACCGATAGATAAAGGCCTTGGCTACACTTGGGCATACACCGTGGCAGCGCTGTGAAGCGTGAGTGTAGTCGCGCCGCCAGCGCTGCGAGACCTCTCTCGCAGCGCTGTAAGTACTCCACCTCTCGGAGGGCAGTAGCTTGCAGCGCTGCGAGCGAGCATGCAGCGCTGCAGGCGCTGATTACACTGGCGCTTTACAGCACTGCGCTCGCTGCGAGGCGTTTTCACACCCCTGAGCGCCGCAAGTTGCAGCGCTGTACAGCACCAGTGTAGCCAAGGCCTAAGTGGATCCGACCCAGGTCAGCACCTGCATCACCCTACTGGAGAGCAGCTGGTTGCTTAGGACAGCAAATGTGTAATGATTCTTGATTGTCTGAGCCACTGAGTATGACATTCTAAATGGCCAAGATATACAGCCAAGCAACAGCCGGTTTGATACACATCAAATCCCAGCCACCGGGCTGAGTGAGTGCCTGATGTGGTGTTACCTGGGGTTCTTGCAACCCGAAGCTCTTGGTAACTTTTACTCTGTGCGAGGTGGTGTCAGGAAAAATATCAGGGGAGACACAGCCGTCCGACTGATAGATAGATGGCTGGCACAAACAGGACAACACCAGAGTGCTTTCACTTAAAGCTAAACTTTACTTAGTCACAAGCACTTACACACGTCCGCAACAGGTTAGTAACACACCCCCAACCCTCGCTAATTACCAACGCTGAGTGTGGCTTTCGAGTGGCACAGTGGCAGCCCATCTGCCAGTGGGGAACACAAGATGCATCCAGAGGGAGAGACCAGTCCCGAAGAGTCCCACCTATCTCAAGCTTTTTCCCCTTATTTATACATTAGTAATACAATGACATGTCCCTTGAAGAAAACTTGTCAAGCAAACAGTTCCAATGGGCAAGCAAGAGGCTCCTTCTGATTATTGATTAACCAGGTGTGGGTTTTTCCAGAGTCTGCAGCCTTGAGACCCCAATAGACATTCCTGGGGCATATCAGCAACTTCAACACAATTCTTATCAGGAAGGACGCATTGTCAATCTGCCCTTTCTGAGGCACCCAGAACCCCCTCCCCTCCTGCCTTGGTCAAACTGAGACTTGCTGAATGGCCAATTTACAGCTTGCTGACTAGGCCGCCTTTAACAATACGCCATAGTGGTTTCAAGCACCTTACTGGTTTGCCAAAATCTCCCCCTACAGTTTGGGAAGGGAACACCTTGGCAATCTGAGCATGCACCCATAAACATGGCCGCTCGCAGTCTACCCTGCCAGGTTCCTCTCGTGATCAAGTCTGACTGCCTGAAACGTGCTTCACGATCAGGGAATAGAATCGGGGCACAGTTAGCGCCCTTCGAAAGGTGGGCTGGATTTGGTCGGGGAAGTCTAGTATATTTCCTTACCATGCGGGGGACAGCAGAATGGAGGACATTGGAAGGGGAGGGCAGTCAGCATGAGAATGGCTAGGGCAGGATGAAATTTTTTGACCCCACCTCTTTGTCAGCGAAAAATGCAGACCCAGGTCAACGGAAATGTTTTGTGAATTTGCCAAATTGTTTCAGTCAGAAAAGGAGCAACCCCACACCCGAAAACATCGAAAGATTTTTGTTGGGACATTTTCAAAAAAGAAATGTCTGTTTTTCATGCGAAAAATGGCCATTTCTGTTTCAAAACTTCTTCCAGTTTTCGAAAAATCTTCCATGAGACAGCTAGACATCGAAACAAAACGTTTTGTTTTGGGTCAAACAAAAAGTTGCATTCTGCCCCAAAATAAATTTTTGGTCAACTTTTTGGTTCACTGAAAATTTTGAAACAAAAGCTGTGGGGGAGGCCAACTCCCCAAAAATTGTTTAGAACTGCCCAAGAATTGAAAAATGACTTATTAAAAATGAGTCTTAACACTGATCCTTCTGCAATGGCAATGTCACAAGAAACTCAGGGAGGAGCAGACCTTCCAGCCAGCCTCCAACTGAACCCCTTTGTTTTCTCTTTCCTTTCTCTCCAAAATCTCTCCCAGGAAGGTGACTGGCTGCAGACAGGTGATATAAATGAGAAGGGAGCTGCAGGAGGTGAATCCAGGACAGCTCAGAGGTTGGAAATACAGCAAGATGAACCATTGAACACAAAGAGGTGGTAGATGTTAGTTCTGCAAACAAGGAGATAGTTATGGTTATGGATATGTAATAAATCGGACTGATAAGGGAATCTTTTGTTTGGCTGGAAAAGCTGAAGTGTTCAGAGGCTCTTGACGGTCCCATTCACACTGTGCAACACCCAACAGATACCTAAATGTTATTTTATTTTTTAAAATAAAACTGTAGGTTAAGCCAACCTTGCCTAATTCCAGTCACCTGCTCACCAGGGAGTTCTTTGTGATGGGCAAGTAAAATGTAATTGTTTTTCCATTACCATCAGTTTGGTAAGGAAGGACAGGTCAGTTTTGCTGGTACATGTTTTGTGACGCTCATATTAAATTGTCATTAGGGATAGATGGAACCAGTTTGGGACAACTTGGACCATCGTTCAAATCAGCCTTCAACCATCGCTAACTCTAGCTTGTGTCTCCCCACTTCCTGATTTCCTTCAGGATCGGAAGCCGTTGTGAGAGAGGGGGCATGATCTGAGCACAGAACTGGGCGCATGGAACTTCTTGAGTTCGAATCCCAGCTTTGCCACTAAACTCTGTGGCCTTGGACAAGTTACTTAGCCTCTGTCTGCTTCAGATTCCCACCTGTAATACAGGGATGTGTTGAGCACTCATTAGTTAATCTCATTGTGGAGGGAACGTGCCAAGTGTTACTAAAATCTGACAACAAAGGCTGTTCTCAAATTGGGTGATACCACGTCACTCTGGAAATCATTGCCTTGTCCTGTGAAATTTCAAACCCAGTTTCTAGATCAAAGTGTTTTGGATACATTTGGAGGGCAATCCTAACTGTTACCAATTTTAGCTGCCAGATGCTGAGATCAGCAGCTGCAGGGATAGATGGGCTTGTGGTAAAGATTCCAGTGTCTTGGATCTAAGTAACACGGGCTGAGAGGTCCCCTTCAGATGAGAAGAATGGAATCCTTTGAACTGAATTTCATAAGGCAGGAGTAACCAGTTATCAGAGGAGCCACTAGTGACCCAGCATAAGATGCGTCTGTATCTATCTTAAGGTACAAGAGACTCTTAGATCTTTTTAAATCTTTAATCATTTCATTGCCAGTGGGAAAATGAAAAAGAAAATTACAAACAGCTTAGAGTTGGTAAGGAAATATTAATTATCTCTAATATATATACTGTCGCTAAAAATTGCACCTACTAAATGGGGCTTGGTTAACAAAGGCAATTCCTGAACTGTCAAATTTTCTGGCTTAATATAACCATTCTGGTCTCAAATTTATGTAGTTCATTCTAAATTCCCTTGATTTGGTCCTGTACAGGAAAGGCAATGTGGTCTAGTATAGCAAGCATGGCATTCCTGAATTCCCAGTCAGCCTCTGCCACTGACTAGCCTCCGAAGACTTTGGCAAGTCACTTCACCTCTCTGTGGCCATTATAATGACTGTTCCAATACTCCTTCATTTATTTAACAGGAGTGTTGTGCGGTTTAATTGCTTTGTAGTATTGTGTCCAACACCAGCCAACGGTAGAGATTTCTGAGTGAAAACTCCCCACATGTTTTTTTCAAGACAACCCGGATGGGAGTAGTGGTTTAATAAGGGATATGGGAGAGGAAATAGAGAAGTATTTAGTAAGATCTTAACTGAAACTGCCTGTGAGGAGGCTGTAAAGGGCGAATTCTGCGTCTTACAGTTACAGGATATTCAGAAACTCCACCTACCAAATCTACCCAGAAGGATAGCCAGTTACAGGTACTGCTTCATCCCTGCCAGAAGCCATGATCCCTTTGTTGGTGGAAGCCGTTCCCATCTAAAGGGTATCACACATACCGCACACTTAAGTTTACAAAGTGTAAATGTTGGTGACTTTAAAAAGCAAACGCAAGTTGGCGGGGGGATTGTGACACCACAGCCCCAATCTGATTAACCCTTGTCGATCCACATTGAGAATGACCCTCGTTACTTGCCACTGTGCTGTTCATAGAACTTAGGCCCAGACCCTCAAAGATATTTAGGCACAACAGGCATTAGCCGGTAGAGGTCCTCGGGAGTTAGGTGCCTTGCTGTCTGGGAGGATCTGGGCCTTACTGCTTCAACGTCGTACCGACACCTCTTCCGGTAGATTGGATAAGCACTGAGAGAGCGAGAGAGTGCTGTATTGTTTCTAAATAACCTTTGCAGTCCAGCTGCAACTCTCTTACAGAATGCAATGGCAGGTGCTGCCGAGGGTAAGGCTCCTGCATCAGCAGTGGAGATTGTGAACATAAAAACGGCCAGACTGGGTCAGACCAATGGTCCATCTAGCCCAGTATCCTGTCTTCTAACAGTGGCCAATGCCAGGTGCCCCAGAGGGAATGAACAGAACAGGTCATCATCAAGTGATCCATCCCCCGTCGCCCATTCTCAGCTTCTGGCAAACAGAGGCTAGGGACACTCAGAGCATAGTGTTGCATCCCTACCCATCCTAGCTAATACGACCTTGACAAATTGGAGAATTTGTCTCTAAAGACAAGTGCAAAGTACAGCACTTCGGAAGGCAAAATCAGATGCACAACTACAAAATGGGGACTAACTGGCTAGGTGGTAGAATGGTTGAAAAGGATCTGGGGGTGATAGTGGATCCCAAATTGAATATGTCAACAATGTGATACAGCTGCGAAAATGCTAATATCATTGTGGGCTGTATTAACGGAGTGTCCTGTGTCAGACACGGGAGGTAACTGTCCCACTCTACTTGGCACTTGTGAGGCCTCAGCTGGAATACAGTGGCCAGTTCTGGGCACCGCAGTTTAGGAAAGAGGTGACCAAATTGGAGAGAGCCCAGAGGACAGCAACAAAAATGATAAAAGGTTTAGAAAACCCAATATCTGAGGAAAGGTTAAAAAAAACTGTGCATGGTTGGTCTTGAGGACAGAAGGCTGAGGTGGGACCTGATAACAGTCCTCAAATTAGTTAGGGGCTGTTATAAAGAGGACAGTGATCAATTGTTCTCCATGTCCACCGACGGTAGGGCGAGAAGTAATGGGCTTAATCAGCAGCAATGGAGATTTAGGTTCAATATTAGGAAAAACGTTCTAACTACACGGGTAGTTACGCTCTGGAACAGGCGTCCAAAGGATGTTGTGGAATCCCCATCACTGGAAGTTTTTAAGAACAGGTTGGACAAACAGCTGTCAGGGATGGTCTAGGTTTACATGGTCCTGCCTCGGGCACAAGGAACTGGACATTTGGAGGTCCCTTCCAGCCCTACGTGTCTCTGATTCAGCGATAACGTCCGCCTGTGCTGTTATCGGTGGAGGCACCTCTTTTTCCCCATGCAATGAAATGGGGTAATTGCCACAGGAGAGCTCATTATTTGAGTAAAGCAAGATGCCTCTTCTTGTTAAAATTCCAAGCAGAAAACGTCCCTCTACCCCGTGTCGTCTTCCCTCGGTGAATCTGGCTGCGTGTTTCATTTTCTTCCAACAGGCTGTGAACTGCAGAGTGTTAGAAAAACAAAGGGTACATCATCCTTGCCCAGTGGGACGCCTTGGGAGGCGCATTAGGTTGATATCAAGTACAGGGAGGATTAATAATATTATCGATGTCTCTTATGACTGGGAATCAGCAGCATGCCAAGTCTCAGGTTACAATGGGTTTATGCGTGATGTGCCACACCAACCCGCCGCTTAGCTAGAAGGTTTTGGCCACTGCTTCCTCTGCAAGCAATCCTGTGAGACGTGGTCAGAGAGTTGGTTTCCCCCTGGCCCCCGCAACTTAGGAAGAGAAATGAGAGAGAATTCCTAGGCTAACCAAAGCGCTCCAAGGATCAGAGGATAAACCACATGAGAAGAGGGGGGAGGGAGCTGAATTTTTGGTCCATTTTTGGTGTGGGGTGAACAGCCTGGCATACTCCTATGGGATGGAAGAGAATGAAGTGAGCTGGATACAGAGCCTATGCGGTATAATGCTGATATTGCAGTCTTTGGGGGTATTACTGTAGTTTAAGTGAGGGAAGGAGCAATGGCTTGAAGGAAACCATCCACTTCAGTCCTTTCCAGAAGAATAGACAGCCTGGAGGTTCTATTCCCGGGGGTCACATCTTTCTGCCCTTACAAGGTTTTGACACTGAGCTGCTAAATGACTTCTGGCAAGTCCCTTAGCCTCCCTGGGTTACAGTTTGCCCATCTTCACGAGTGGGGTGATAAGGCCATAACAAATCAGCGGGCACACAGGAATTCATGATTGTTGATGTGGTACACGGCCAGGCCAGCACTAGTAGGGTTAGAACTCTGATCCTCCCACTCGATTATAAATGGGACTGCCCCTGGAGGCCCCCCCCACTTATAATGGCTCCCCAGTCTGTGCCCAGGGGCCTTTTCAGAGTGAGCACCATGTCACTGGCCTCCCTGACTCCATCCTGAGTCCCTATAATGGAAAGAACTAGAGCAAAGCATTGCATGGACCGTTCGAAAGCTCGCACAGTCCCAGAGCATACATGGCCTTTCAGACCCCACACACCCGAAGGCCAGGAAGTCAAGGTGGAGGGGGGTAGCTGGGTAGGGGTGTGACATTAAATGAAAACCACGTGGCTTGTGGGAACAGCGACAATAAAGCAGGATTATGAAGTGCACTCCAGGACGGTGATGGGCACAAGGAGCATGTCTAGGACTGGAACGCCTGGGAAAGCGGCAGCTTATTCCAGTCTGAACCTTCTTTGCTAGCTAGTGTTACAATCTAAGGCACATTTATAACTGACGAGACACCCCCCCACACCCAACTCCCCTTGCAGCTGTTTTTACCCATTAACAAAGATCAGGGGTCTCCGAACTATCTGACTTCTTGGCCTGAGAATACAGTAGCTGCCTGAGAATGTGAGAAGCAGAAATCTCCTTCGCTCCTATTTTTCCTTAGCCCTGGTCTACACTAGGCGGGGGGGGGGG